ATGATACAAAGTGGTTGACTCTGGAAATAACAAATCCAGAAGAAATGGAGTGGCTCTAATACTGAGGCAAGATGTAGCACAGGCAGTTAAGGGCTGTAATGCAAGATCTGACTGAATAATACCAATCTGACTCCAGGAAGACCTATCGACACAATCACCATTCAGGTTTATGCTCAAGCTTCCAACACTGAAGATGACAAAATCGAAAGCTTGCACAGAAGCATTCAAAAAGAAAGTGTGGTTATAATCATAGGTGGGTGGCATGAAAAAGCAGCAAGCAAAGCAGAACTAAATGTTACTGGAAATTTTGGGGACAAATTAAGTAGGAGAATAGCTCACAGAGTTCTGCCAAACCAACAATCTGTTTATTGCAAATACATGCTTCAAGCAACTGAACAGATCGCTGTACACATGGACATCACCAGATGGTAGATAACAAAAAACAATCAGATTATGCAATTGGAAGCAAAGGATGGAGAATTTGTATTCTCTAAACCAAAACAAGACCAGGAGTGGATTGTAGTATTGATCACAAACTGTTAATATCCAACATTAGATCAAAGCTGAAAAAAGAACACTAGAAGAATTATAATGTCTAAATATAATTCCAAAAATATTCCCGATGAATTTAAAGTCCACATAAGGAATAAACTTGCATTACTAAACCCAACTGACCATGAACCAGAATAAGGCAAAAAGTGAATTCCTGTAGTAAAAAAAGAGGGGGGGGGCTAGATGGATGATGGAAGAAACACTTAAAATTGGAAAGGATGGGCAAGAAGCAAAAGTAAAAGATGACAGAAATAGGATCAGGACACTGCAGTTTTTCAGTGGCTGTCACATAGAGACAAAGAATTATCCCAAATAAGTGTATAGAGAAGAACAACAAATAGGGAAAACCAGGAGATCCCTTCCAGAAGATCCAAGAAATCAAAGAGAAATTTAAGCTTAGATTAGGAATGGTGAATAAGCAATAGGGAAGCACACTATCTGACCAGGAGGAAATGCAGAGAAGTTGGAAACTGTACAGTATACTGAAGATCTGTATGGAAGAGATAAAAGGATTATACTGTAGATTCTTTTGAAGAAGAAAAATATGAGGAACAACCTGTAGTTCTAGAAAGTGAAGTGAAAGCTGCTCTGAAAGTACTGGGAAGAAATAAATCACTGGGGTAGATGGGATGCTGATAGAACTATTTCAAGACATAGAGACCAAACCTGTCAAAGTCTTAATAAGAATATGCCTGCAAATATGGAATGCAAAACGATGGCCCACAGAGTGGAAATTTTCAATTTAAATGAGCTGGAACGCTTAGCCATTTTTTATGCTTTCCTATCACTTCTCAAGGGGATCATGGTTCTGATGACCACGGACAACACAATCACCATGCATTATATCAACAAACAATTGTCTTACCTGTCTTTTACCCATCTCCTCTTTCCTCCTTGGAGAGATTTCTGCACTCGCTGGATGCAAGGTCCGCCCTAGCCTTCTGCACAGCCAGGACACAGCCTTTCTGAAAGATTGTCAGGCTCTTTGTAATCTACAGAAAAGGCTCTGAGGGCTCTCCTGTCTCAATGCAGGTATTGGCCAGGTGGTTAGTTGATACCATCACATTGGCATATGGCCTTACCCATCACCCTCTGTGTATGACAGTGCAAATACATTCCACACATGCAGTGTCATCCTCAACAGCCTTCCTCAGAGGTGTCCCTCTTGAAGACATCTGTGCTGCTGCTACATGGGCACAACCTTCTAACTTAATTTCTCATCACTGCCTAGATACCCATGAGCATTGTTCTTCCACTGTGGGTAGAGTGGAGTTGGCCTCTGTCCTTCCATGACAACCCGCTAGCTTAGTGTGCATTCATGGAGACCATGATGAAGGATAGGTATCATAATTATGGTTTTTTGAGTGGATCTATGTGAATTTACACATCCCTCCCTCCTCACCCTTGTCACGCTGCTCCTTAGCAGCAGCAGCAGAGGAACTGAGGAGCAACTATTAGAGGTGCAAACAGGCAATGTGTGTGTCTGTATGTAGGCTCTAAGGATCTCCTGATTTTTGAACTTTAGAAGGTTCCAAAGATCGCACATGCACAGAAGACTAACCCATTAGTGTGAATTCACAGAGATCTACTCAAAGAACCCATAGTTACAGTAAGTTACCTATCCATACATTTCAGGAGATACCAAGGAGTGCAGTAACTATAGGAATGTTGCTTAAATTTCCCATGCAAGAGGAGTGATGCTCACATTAAAGGCTTTTTATATGAAGCAAAAAATGTCAGATGTCCAAGCTGGATTCCAAAAGGGAAGCAGCACTTGGAATTATATTGTAAATATTCACTGGCTACTGAAGTGCACCAGAGAATTTCAAAAGATCAGTCTATGCTTTATAGTAAAGCATTGTGGATTATGGGAAACTATGGGTTGTTCTGAAAGAAATGACTGTGTCTGAGCATTTGATTGTCCTGATGCATAACTTGTACTGCAGACAAGAAGGTACCGTTAGGAGAGAATGGTTTCTTATAGACAAAGGTGTCACATGAGGGTGATTTCATCCTCTTTTCTGTTCAATCTGTATGCAGAACATGCCAAACTCGATTAGATTAAGATGTAGGATTGAACACTGGTGAAAGAAACATCAATAATTTAAGATATGCAGATGACGTAATCTTACTGGTAGAAAACAGCCGACCTGAAATGACTTAGTGAAAGTGAAAGATGAAAGTGTCAAAGCAGGACTGCTGTTGAATATTAGGAAGACGACAATGACTACACAACTTTAGTATTGACACTGAAGAAATTGAAAAAGTGAAAGATTTGTATATCTTGTTTCAGGCATCAATCCATGTGGAGATTGCAGCCAAGAAATCAGAAGACAACTGAGACTTGGAAGGGTAGCAGTAAAGGAATTAGAAAAGACCATCAAGTATAAGGATGCTTCCCTGGAGACTTTAAAGGCAAACAACTATATTGTGGAGTAAAATTTGTATGGATTCATGTCTATATCATATACATATATATACTTAAAATCTGGGCTCTATCTGTAGAAAATCTTTGCCCTTTTATAGTCATTATATGTGCATATACAGTATATAGAGGAACTGAGGAGCAACTATTAGAGGTGCAAACAGGCAATGTGTGTGTCTGTATGTAGGCTCTAAGGATCTCCTGATTTTTGAACTTTAGAAGGTTCCAAAGATCGCACATGCACAGAAGACTAACCCATTAGTGTGAATTCACAGAGATCTACTCAAAGAACCCATAGTTACAGTAAGCTACCTATCCATACATTTCAGGAGATAACAAGGAATGTCCCCCCACACACACACACACAGAGAGAGAGAGAGAGAGAGAGTATAATGAAGCTGGTAAGCATATACTGTACAGTATATATAATGACTATAAAAGAGCAAAGATTTTCTACAGATAGAGCCCAGACAGTAGGAAAAGAGGAAAACCTAATGTGAGAAATTGAATTAATAAGGGAAACCACCACATTTAGTCTGCAAGATCTGAGCAGGCCAGTTAACAATAGAATCTTATAGAGGTTTTTAATTAACATGTTCCCACCGCCCAGTCTGGGAGAGGGCCTTCTCTGTCGCTGCTCCGTGACTCTGGAATGGGAAGCCAGGCTGGCCCCATCTTTGCTGTCCTTCCTCAACCAGGCGAAGACCTTTATCTTCAGGCAGGCTTTTCCTTACAGGCAGGCTTTTCCTTAGTGACCTGGTTTTTTTTAAATTGGACGATTTGTATTCTTGTTGCTTTTAAATCTATTTTAGTCATGCTTTTACCTAACATGACTAGGTAATGGCCGAGTCATGCATGCTTATTTTTTTTAATATTTTGACTAATTTACTGTTTATAGCTTTTAATATTGTATTTTTAATGACATGGGCTGCCTTTTTTAGAAGAATGGCAAAGTAAAATACTTTCAATAAATAAATTCTTTTAATTCTTTGAGATTCAGAAGCAATTCCGGCTGTTCAATAGAATTTACACCCGAATGCAATCCCAACCTTGGGTTCCTTGCTCTTCTTGGACTATAACTCCGAGAAGCCTTCACCCCCTAACTGTGCCGGCGAGGATTTCTGGGAGTTGTAGTCCAAGAATATCTGGGGAATCCAAGGTTAGGAACCCTTGCCCTCGTATTTTAGGGTCTTCCGTCCTCTGAAATGATGCCAGACAATGATGTGCCACAGATTACTCCTGCTAGGAAAGAATCACTGAAGTAATAACTAGGACACCAAGGAGTTTCGTTTATTTATTGACGGCATGGCTGGCCGGCTTGTTCCACAGAACTCGTCCGTATTTCACCAACGCCACATCCCGTTCGTCTGAAAGCCTTCTAAAAGGAAACGAGCGCTGCATCAGGGAGAGCCCCGACGCCCTCCGGCCTGGCTCTGTCCCACGTCTCGGTCGTTTTCCCGCCCAAAGAACCCTCGGGAGCCGCTCTTTCCCTCCGTTCTCTTTTTCCTCCACCGGCTCATTCCGGCCCCGCCCCCGCCTCGCTTCCGCCGACAGCCGGCAGGTGGCGCTGCAGGTAGCGGCGCTCGGCAGCCCCTCCGGTTCCCGTTCCGGGGCCGCAGCCCGGGCTCGTTCCGCCGCCGAAAAAGGCGCCCGCT